CGTAAGGTAACTAACTATGAGACTAAAGACATACACTCTTGATAATCCTTGTTGCTCATTAACTCAGTAAATGAAAATGTGTCTCATGCCTGCCTCGTGCCCTGAATTGTGCAAGGTGCTGGTTGTAGTTGTGTACAAAATAGATGTAACTTTGCTTGAACAGAGTGCCTCAGTGATGCCGTTGAAAGGGGTAAAGCCCCTACCACTGACAAAACCATTTCAGTTGACCTAATTTCATTAGCTCTACTTAAGAAGATTAATTGATTATCTAGCATCTGTATTGTTTAATCCCTTTATTTTTATTGGTTTTTTTTTTTTGAGATGGAGTAGTCTCACTCTGTCACCCAGCCTGGAGTGCAGTGGTGAGATCTCCACTCACTGCAACCTCCACCTCCTGGGTTCAAGTGATTCTCCTGCCTCAGCCTCCTGAGTAGCTGGGATTACAGGAGCCCACCACCATGCCAGGCTAATTTTTTTTTTGTATTTTTAGTAGAGACCCGGTTTCACCACATTTGTCAGGCTGGTCTCAAACTCCTGAACTCATGATCTGCCCACCTCAGCCTCCCAAAGTACTGGGATTACAGGTGTGAGCCACTGTGCCCGGCCATTATTTTCTTATCAATAATCCTTTGTCAGCACCATTTTTTTTTTACAAGGATGTTTCTTGAAAGCCACATTTATGTTTGCTGATTAAGTTTTCTTTTTAGACCTAGACCTAGGTTTAAACTATGAATGGGGCCAGGCATGGTATGTGGCTCACACCTGTAATTCCAGCACTTTGGGAGGCCTAGGTGGGCGGATCACCTTAAATTAGGAGTTCGGGAACTGCCTGGCCAACGTGGTGAAACCCTGTCTCTACTAAAAATACAAAAATTAGCCGGGTGCCTGTAATCCCAGCTACTCAGGAGCCTGAGAGAGGAGAATAGCTTGAACCCGGGAGGTGGAAGTTGCAGTGAGCTGAGATTGCGCCTCTGCACTCCAGCCTGTGTAACTGATCGAGACTGTCTCAAAAGAAAAAAAAAGATCCTGCACCTTACCAAAATTAAAAAAAGCCTCAGGAATCTGTGAACAATACCAAAGGGCTGACATTCAGGACATCAGATTTCCAGAAGGAAAGGAGAAAAAATGCAGTACAAAAAAAAAGTTGAAGAAACAATGGCTAAAAATGTTCTAAATGTTGGCAAAAGGCAGTAACTGACATTCATGAAGGCAAGCAGAACCTAAACAGGAAAAACCCAGAGAGTCTGAATTAACTCTGTTTCAGGGGACTGCTTGATTTAAAAAATAAGTCAATGACTTAATAAAAAGAAAGGCCCAAATGAATTCAAATTGAGCTAGGTTACAGTCAAACTTTGAAAATAAAGACAAAGAAAATATTGAAAATAGCTAGAGAAATGCAGTGTATTGCTTATTAAAAAAAAAAAACATTTAAAGAGGTAAATAATGACTCTAATGACTGTGGAGGCAGAAGTGTAATAAGATTTACATTTTTAAAAACATTTTAGGCTGGGCTTAGCAGACGATGCCTGTAATCCCAGCGCTTTGGAGGCCAAGGTGGGCGGAATCACAAGGTTAGGAGTTTGAGATCAGTCTGCCCAACATGGTGAAACCCATCTCTACTAAAAATACAAAAAATTAGCTGGGCATAGTGGCAGGCACCTATAGGAAGCTGAGGCAGGAGAATCACTTGAACCCAGGAGGCGGAGGTTGCAGTGAGCCAAGACCTCACCACAGCACTCCAGCCTGGGCAACAGAGCAAGACTCTGTCTCAAAACAAACAAACAAAAATTATGACTGAGTGTGGTGGCTCACGCTTGTAATCCTAGCACTTTGGGAGGCTGAGGTGGATGAATCACAAGGTCAGGAGTTCGAGACCAGCCTGCCAACACAATGAAACCCCGTCTCTACTAAAAATACAAAAATTAGCTGGGTGTGGTGATCATAGGCGCCTGTAATCTCAGCTACTCGGGAGGCTGAGGCAGGAGAAACCTGGGAGGCGGAGGTTGCAGTGAGCTGAGATCTCGCCACTGCACTCTAGCCTAGGTGACAGAGCTAAGCTGTCTCAAAAACAAGCAAAACAAATTATTGGCCAGGTGCAGTGGCTCACGCCTGTAATCCCAACACTTTGGGAGACCCAGGCAGGAGGATTACTAGAGGTCAGGAGTTCGAGACCAGCCTGGCTAACATGGTGAAACCCCGTCTCTACTAAAAATACAAAAATTAGCCGGACATGGTGGCACACACCTGTAGTCCTAGCTACTCAGGAGGCTGAGGCAGGAGAGTCACTTAAACCTGGGAGATGGAGGTTGCAATAAGCCAAGATCATACCACTGCACTCCAGCCTGGGTGATGGAGCAAGGCTCTGTCCCCCCCAAAAAAAAATAAATAAAAACATTTTATTATTGTTTTGGGGCCATAAGAAAATTTATTACTGTGTGTGTGTGTGTGTGTGTGTGTGTGTGTGTGTGTGTATGTAAAACAACATTTTTAAAGTGCTGAATAGGCCGGGCATGGTGGCTCACATCTGTAATCCCAGTACTTCAGGAGGTCAAGACAGGTGAACCCCCTTGAGCCCAGGGGTTCAAAACCAGCCTGAGTAACCTAGTGAGACCCTATCTCTATTATTATTTTTTAAACCTTTAAAAAGTGCAGAATAAAAAAAGATGTCACCAGAAGACAAAAAAAAAAAAAAAGTAGGGCTTCACCTCAAAATTCAATGAAAATATTCTTCAGGAATAAAGATAAAGACATACTTAAATAAAAGGAAACAAGAGAATTTACAAACCTCCTCTGAGTAAATTGCCAAGGAAGTTCAGACATAAGAGAAATTATATCAGAAGGAAGCTAGGAACATAAGAAATGAATGAAGAACAATAAGGGCCGGGTGTGGTGGCTCACGCATATAATCCCAGCACTTTGGGAGGCTGAGGCGGGTGAATCACGTGGTCAAGAGATCGAGACCATCTTGGTCAACAAGGTGAAACCCTGTCTCTACTAAAAATACAGAAATTAGCTGGGTATGGTGGCGCACACCTGTAGTCCCAGCTACTCGGGAGGCTGAGGCAGGAGAATTGCTTGAACCCAGGAGGCGGAGGATGCGGTGAGCTGAGATCGTGCCATTGCACCCCAGCCTGGGTAACAAGAGCGAAACTCCATCTCCAAAAAAAAAAAAGAAGAACAATAAGAAGGGTAAATATGGCCAGGCAGAGTGGCTCACACCTGTAATCCCAGCACTTTGGGAGGCCCAGGCGGCGGATCACCTGAGGTCGGGAGTTTGAGACTAGCCTGAATAACATGGAGAAAACCTGTATCTACTATAAACAATAAAATTAGCTGGGCGTGGTGGTGCTGACCTGTAATCCCAGCTACTCGGGAGGCTAAGGCAGGAGAATCACTTGAACCCAGGAGGCAGAGGTTGTGGTGAGCTAAGATCTCGCAATTGCACTCCAGCTTGGGCAACAAGGGTGAAGCTCCATCTAAAAATTAATTAATTAATTAATTAATTAAAATAAAGCAAAACGGGCAAATACTGGGTAAATAGAATGCACTATTATTTTCCTCTTGAGTTTTTAAAAATATATTTTGTAGTTGAAAACAAAAATTAGGGCAGCCGTGGTGGCTGAAGCCTGTAATCCCCACACTTTGGGAATCTGAGGCAGGCAGATCACCTGAGGTCAGGAGTTTGAGACCAGCCTGATCAACATGGAGAAACACCATGTCTACTAAAAATACAAAAAATTAGCTGGGCATGGTGTTACATGCCTGTAATCCCAGCTACTCAGGAGGGTGAGGCAGGAGAATAGCTTGAACCTAGGAAGTGGAGGTTGAGGTGAGACAAGATCGTGCCATTGCACTCCAGCCTGGGCAACAAAGAGTGAAACTCTGTCTCAAAAAAAAAAAAAAGAAAACAAAAACTAAGGCAGACAGATCATGAGGTCAGGAGTTCAAGACAAGCCTGGCCAACATAGTGAAACCATGTTTCTACTAAAGTACAAAAATTAGCCAGGCATATTACTGTGCACCTGTAGTCCCAGCTACTCTGGAGGCTGAGGCAGGAGAATCGCTCGAACCTGGGAGGCAGAGGTTGTGGTGAGCTGAGATCATGTGACTGCACTCCAGCCTGAACAACAGAGCAAGACTCCATCTTAAAAAAAAAAAAAAGTATACCACTGGCTGGATGCAGTGGCTCATGCTTGTAATCCCAGCACTTTGGGAGGTTGAGGCAGGCAAATCACTTGAGGTCGGGAGTTTGAGACCAGCCGGGCCAACATAGTGAAACCCCATCTCTACTAAAAATACAAAAATTAAGTGGGGCATGGTGGCTCACACCTGTAATCACAGCACTTTGGGAGGCTGAGGTGGGCAGATCACCTGAGGTCCAAAGTTCAAGATCAGCCTGACCAACATGGAGAAACCCCATCTCTACTAAAAATACAAAATTAGCCGGACGTGGTGGCACATGCCTGTAATCCACCTACTTGGGAGGCTGAGGCAGAAGAATGGCTTGAACCTGGGAGGCAAATATCACACCATTGCACTCCAGCCTGGACAACAAGAGCAAGACTCTGTCTCAAAAAAAAAATTAGCTATTAGCTAAACGTCGTGGTGAGCGCCTGTAATCCCAGTTACTCCAAAGGCTGAGGCAAGAGAATTGCTTGAATCTGGGAGATGGAGGTTGCAGTGAGCCAAGATCATGCCACTGCACTAGAGCCTGGGCAACAGAGCAAGACTCCCCTCAAAAATAAATAAATAAAAATTAATTGATTGATTGATTATGAGATAGCTTATACTTTGCTATTTATTCATTTTTGTTTATTTTAGAGATGGGGTCTTGCTATGTTGCCCAGGCTGTTCTCAAACTCCTGGCGATCTTTCCTTCTTGGCCTCCCAAAGTGCTGGGATTACAGTTGTGAGCCACCCTCCTTCCAGCTGACTTTGCTATTTAAAGGTTTCCAATACTACCATATCATGTTGATCAAAGGCTCTAACTTGCCAAAAAAAAAAAAAATCCCTACCTTGTATATCAATATACTTATATCTATCTATCTATCTATCATCTATCTATCTATCTATCTATCTATCTATCTATCTATCTATCTATCTAATCTATCTAAAACTATGAGTAAAACCAAATAGGTAACCAAATTTAACACTACTTTAATGGATAATGTTATTTGATGCTGAAAAGTTTTAATCCTGGTGTTCGTGAGAGAAGCCTTAGCGAAACTACAGGATTGTCTCCAGTGATGTGTCATTTTACAAAGCCCACACTAGATGGCAGATTTCAAATAGGATTTTCTGGGTCACAAATTAGGAAAAAATGGCCAGTTGAAGTGGCTCTCGCCTGTGATCCCAGCACTTTAGGAGGCCCAGGGGTGATCCACCCTGATCACCTGAGGTTAGGAGTTCAAAACCAGCCTTGCCAACGTGGTGAAAACCCATCTCTACTAAAAATACAAAATTTAGGCTGGGTATGGTGGCTCACGCCTATAATCCAGCATTTTGGGAGGCCAAGGTGGGCGGATCGCCTGAGGTCAAAAGTTCAAGACCAGCCTGACCAACAGGATGAAACCCTCGTCTTAAAATAAAATAAAATAAAATAAAAACACAAAACTTAGATTGGCATTGTTGTGGGCTCCTGTAATCCCAGACACTCAGGAGGCTGAGACAGAATCGTTTGAACCCAGGAGGTGGAGGTAGCAGTGAGTAGAGATCGCACCACTGCACTCCAGCTCAGGTGATGGAGTGAGACTCTGTCTCGAAATAATAATAATGCCGAGACCGCGTCTACCCCACAAACACAGAGCCTCGCCCTTGCCGTTCAGTCTCCCATCCACACCCGCCAGCTCACCATGGATGATGATATCGCTGCACTTGTTGTCGACAATGGCTCCGGCATGTGCAAGTCCAGCTTCGCAGGCGATGATGCTCCCCGGGCCGTCTTCCCCTCCATCGTGGGGCGCCCCAGGCACCAGTGCATGATGGTGGGCATGGATCAGAAGGACTCCTATATGGGTGATGAGGCCCAGAGCAAGAGAGGCATCCTGACCCTGAAGTACCTCATCGAGCACGGCATTGTCACCAACTGGGATGACATGGAAAAGATCTGGTACCACACTTTCTACAACGAGCTGTGTGTGGCTCCTGAGGAGCACCCCATGCTGCCTGAACCCCAAGGCCAACCGTGAGATTACCCAGATCATGTTTGAGACCTTCAACACCCCAGCCATGTATGTGGCCATCCAGGCTATGCTTTCCTTGTACGCCTCTGGCCATACCACTGGCATCATGATGGACTCTGGTGACGGGGTCACCCCCATTGTGCCTGTCTATGAGGGGTATGCCCTCCCCTATGCCATCCTGTGTCTGGACCTGGCTGGCCGGGACCTGACTGACTACCTCATGAAGATCCTCACCAAGCATGGCTACAGCTTCACCACCACAGCTGAGCAGGAAATCATGCATGACATCAAGGAAAAGCTATGCTACATTGCCCTGGACTTCAAACAGGAGATGGCCACGGGAGCCTCCAGCTCCTCCCTGGAGAAGACCTATGAGCTGCCCGATGGTCAAGTCATCACCATCGGCAATGAGAGGTTCCGCTGCCCTGAGGTGCTCTTCCAGCCTTCTTTCCTGGGCATGGAATCTTGTGGAAACCATGAAACTACCTTTAACTCCACCATGAAATATGACGTGGACATCCGCAAAGACCTGTATGCCAACACAGTGCTGTCTGGCGGTACTACCATGTACCCTGGCATCGCTGACAGGATGCAGAAGGAGATCACCACCCTGGCACCCAGCACGATGAAGATCAAGATCATTGCTTCTCCCGAGCGCAAGTTCTCCGTGTGGATGGGTGGCTCCATCCTGGCCTCGCTGTCCACCTTCCAGCAGATGTGAATCAGCAAGCAGGAGTATGAGTCCGGCCCCTCCGTCATCCACCGCAAATGCTTCTAGGCAGACTGTGACCGAGTTGCATTACACCCTCTTTTGACAAAACCTAACTTGTGCAGAAAACAAGATGAGATTGGCATGGCTTTATTTGTTTATTTGTTTTGTTTTGGTTTGGTTTTTTTTTTGGCTTGACTCAGGATTTTAAAACTGGAACGGTGAAGGTGACAGCAGTCAGTTGGAGCGAGCATCCCCCAAAGTTCTACAATGTGGCTGAGGACTTGACTGTACATTATTTTCTTTAAGTCATTCCAAGTATCGTGAGATGTACTGTTACAGGAAGTCCCTTGCCCTCCCAAAAGCCACCCCATTTCTCTCTAAGGAGAATGGCCCAGTCCTCTCCCGAGTCCACACAGGGGAGGTAACAGCATTGCTTTTATTGTAAACTATGTAATGAAAAAATTTTTAAGTTTCACCTTAATACCTTATTTTGTTTTATTTTGAAAGATTTTAGCCTCTGGCCACCTCTTTTTTTGTCCCTCAACTTGAGATGTACGAAGGCTTTTGGTCTCCCCGGGAGTGGGTGGAGACAGCCGGGCTTACCTGTACACTGACTTGAGACCAACTGAATAAAGTGCACTCCTTAAAAAATAATAATAATAATTAGGGGAAAATTTATATATGTATACACACACACACACAAAGGAAAAAATCCGGGTGTGGAGGCTTACTCCTGTAATCCCAGCACTTTGGGAGGCTGAGGTGGGAGAATAGATTGATTCCAGGAGTTCAAGACCAGCCTGGGCAACATGGGGAAATCCCATCTCTACAAAAATATATAAAAATTAGCTGGGCAGCAGGTCATGGTGGCTCATGCCTGTAATTCCAGCACTTTGGCAAATCACCTGATGTCAGGATTTGGAGACCAGCCTGGCCATCATGGTGAAACCCTGTCTCTACTTAAAAAAAAAAAAAAAAATAGGCCGGGCATGATGGCTCACACCTGTAATCCCAGCACTTTGGGAGGCCAAGGCAGGTGGATCACGAGGTCAAGAGATAGAGACCAACCTGGTCAACATGGTGAAACCCCATCTCTACTAAAAATACAAAAAATTAGCTGGGCATGGTGGAGCGTGCCTGTAATCCCAGCTACTCAGGAGGCTGAGGCAGGATAATTGCCTGAACCCAGGAGGCGGAGGTTGCGGTGAGCTGAGATCGCACCATTGCACTCCAGCCTGGGTAACAAGAGCGAAACTCCGTCTCAAAAAAAAAAAAAATTAGCCGGGTGTGGTGGTGTGGGACTGTAATCCCAGCTATCAGGAGGCTGAAGCAGGAGAATTGCTTGAACTGAGATTGTGCCACAGCACTCAAGCCTGGGCAACAGAGTGAGACTCTGTCTCAAAAATAAGTAAATGAATTAATTAACTGAGTGTGGTGGTGTCCATCTGTGGTCCCAGTTACTCTGGGATGCAGGAGATAAATAAATGAATTAATTAACTGAGTGTGGTGGTGTCCACCTGTGGTCCCAGTTACTCTGGGATGCAGGAGGATCATCTGAGCCTTTGGAGGTCAAGGCTGCATGCAGCAAGCTGTGATCTCACATTGCCCTCTAGCTTGGGCAACAGAGTGAGGACCTGTCTCAGATATAAATTAAAAAAATTTTAAAGTAAAGAATAAAAATGAAAATATAAAATAAATAATTAGTATTTTTTCTTTTTTAGATTTTTAATATTTTTCTTTTTTATCTTTGTTAAACTTTAATTTTAGGCTCAGGGTACATGTGCAGGTTTATTATATAGGTAAATTGCATGTCACAGGGGTTTGGTGTATGGATTATTTTGTCACCTAGGTATCAGGCATCCCACCTAATAGGTAGTTTTTTTATTGTAGCCCCCCTCACCCTCATGTAGACCCTAGTATCTGCTGTTCCCTTCTTTGTGCCCATGTGTACCCAGTGTTTAGCTCCCACTTTTAAGTGAGAAAATGCAGTGTTTGGTTGTCTGTTCCTGCATTAGTTTACTTAGGATAATGGCCTCCTGCTCCATTTAAGTTGCTGCAAAGTATGTTATCTCACTCTTTTTAATGGCTGCATAATATTCCATAGTGTATATATACGACTTTTCTTTTTACATTTTTTAAAAAGACATAACTCTCTCTGTTACCCAGGCTGAAGTGCAGTGGCACAGTTTCTACTAACTGCAACCTTCACCTCCAGGTTCAAGCAATTCCTGCCTCAGCCTCCCAAGTAGCTGGGATTAGAGGCATGTATTTTATTACCATACCCAGCTAAGTTTTGTATTTTTAGTAGAGATGGGTTTTGTCATGTTGGCCAAGCTGGTCTCAAACTCCTGACATCAAGTGATCCACCCCCCTCGGCCTCCCAAAGTGCTGGGATTACAGGCATGAGCCACTGCACCCAGCCTAATTTTAGTATTTTTAGTGGAGATAGCATGTTGATCAGGCTGGTCTCGAACTCCTGATCTCAGGTGATTCACCCACCTCGGCCTCCCAAAGTGCTGACATTACAGGCATGAGCCACTGCACCCAGCCAGCATCAGTTTTTAAAGTTTAGTTTAGTTTTTTTATTTTTGAAATGGGGTTTCGCTCTTCTTGCCCAGTCTGGGATGCAATGGTGCAATCTCCCTAATTGCAGCCTCCACCTCCCGGGTTCAAGCAATTCTTGTGCAGCAGCCTCCCAAGTAACTGAAATTACTGTTGCCGGCCACCACACCCTACCAATTTTTTGTATTTTTAGTAGAGATTGGGTTTGGCTATGTTGGCCAGGCTGGTCTCAAACTCCTGTCCTCGGGTGATCCACCCACCTCCGCCTCCCAAAGTGCTGGGATTACAGGTGGGAGCCACCATGCCAGCCCAGCATCTGTTATTTTTTGACTTGTTAGTAATAATGATTCTGACTGGTGTGAGATAGTATCTCATTGTGGTTTTGATTTGCATTTCTCTCTTTTTTTTTTGAGATGGAGTCTTTCTCTGTCACCTAGGCTGGAGTGCAGTGGTTCTATCTCAGCTCACTGCAACCTCTGCCTCCCAGGTTCAAGTGATTCTCCTGCCTCAGCTTCCCGAGTAGCTGGGATTATAGGCTTGAGCCACCATGCCAAGCTAATTTTTTGTATTTTTAGTAGAAATGGGATTTTACCGTGTTAGCCAGAATAATCTGGAACTCCTAATTTCATGATCCGCCCACCTCGGCCTCCCAAAGTGCTGGGATTACAGGCGTGAGCCACTGAACCCGGATTTGCATTTCTCTAATGATTAGTAAAGTTGAATATTTTTTCTTGTTGGCCAGGTGTCTGTCTTCTTTTGAAAAGCATCTGTTCATGTCCTTTGCTCACTTTTTAATGGGGTTGGTTTTTTGCTTTTTAATTTAAAGTCCTTATAGATTCTTGATATTAGACCTTTGTTGGATGCATAGTTTCTCCCATTCTGTCGGTTGTCTTTTTACTCTGTTGATAGTTTCCTTTACTGTACAGAAGCTCTTTCGTTTAATTAGGTCCTATTTGTCAATTTTCTGTTTTAATTATATATATATATATATATATATTTTAAATAGAGACAGGATCTCACTATGCTGCCCAGGCTGATTGAAACACTTTTTTTTTTTTTAGACATATTTGCTCTGTCACCCAGGCTGGAGTGCAGTGGCATGATCTCAGCTCACTGCAACCTCTGCCTCCCAGATGCAAGCAATACTTGTGCTCTGCCTCCCAGGTAGTCCCAGCTACTTGGGAGCAGAGCACAAGTATTGCTTGCATCTGGGAGGCAGAGGTTACAGTGTGCCCCATGCCCATTTTGTATTTTTAGTGGAGATGGGGTTTGGCCATGTTGGTCCAGTGGGTCTCGAACTCCTGGACTCAAATGATACCCTAGGCTGGGCCTCCCAAAGTTCTGGGATTAAAGGCCATGAGCCACTGTTCCTGCTCAATACTGATTTTTGTATTCTGAAACTTTGCTGAAGTTCTTTCTCAGATCTAGGAGCTTTGGGACAGAGCCTATGGGGTTTTCTAGGCATAGAGTCATATTGTCTGTAACAGAGATAGTCTGACTTCCTGAGGTTCCCAAATCTCAATTCTTGACTTCTGTGCACCTGCAGGCTAAACACCATGTGGAAGCTGCCAAAGCTTGGAGCTTCCACCCTCTGAAGCAACAGCCTGAACTGTACCCTGGCCCCTTTCAGTCAAGGCTGGAGTGTCTGGGACGCAGGGCACCAAGTCCCTAGGCTGCACACAGCAAAGGGACCCTGGGCCTGGCCCACAAAACCACTTTTTCCTCCTAGGCCTCTGGACCTGTGATGGGAGGGGCTGCCATGAAGACATTTTCTTGATTGGGGTTAACATTTGGCTCCTCATTACTCGTGCAAATTTCTGCATCTGGCTTGGATTTCTCCTCAGAAAATGGAATTTCTTTTTTTTTATTTTATTTTTTGAAACCAAGTTTCCCTCTTGTTGCCCAGGCTGGAGGGCAATGGTGCGATCTCAGCTCACCAAAACCTCTGCCTCCCAGGTTCAGATGATTCTCCTGCCTCAGCCTCCTGAGTAGCTGGGATTACAAACATGTACCACAATGCCTGGCTAATTTTTTGCATTATTTATTTATTTTGAGATGGAGTTTCACTCTTGTTGCCCAAGCTGAGTGCAATAGTGCGATCTTAGTTCACCATAACCATGCCTCCTGGGTTCAAGCGATTCTCCTGTCTCAGCCTCCCAAGTAGCTGGGATCACGGGCGTGTGCCACCATTCTGGCTAATTCTTTTTTGTATTTTTAGTAGAGACAGGGTTTCTGCATGTTGGTCAGGCTGGTCTTGAACTCCCGACCTCAGGTGAGGTCTAGGGAAGAGGCAAAATGCTGCCAGTCTCTTTGCTAAAAGATAACAAGAGTCGCCTTTGCTCCAGTTCCCAACAAGTTCCTCATTTCCATCTGAGACCACCTCAGCCTGGACTTTATTGTCCATAACACTATCAGCATTTTGGTCAAAGCCATTCAAAAAGTCTCTAGGGTATGCCAAACTTTCCCAAATTTTCCAGTCTTCTTCTGAGCCCTCCAAACTGTTCCAACCTCTGCCTGTTACCCAGTTCCAAAGTTGCATCCACATTTTTGGGTGTCTACAGCAGCATCCCACTCTGATAATACCAATTTAATATATTAGTCCGTTTTCATGATGCTGATGAAGACATACCTGAGACTGGGAAGAAAAAGAGATTTAATGGACTTACAGTTCCACATGGCTGAGGAAGCCTCACAGCCATGGTGGAAGGCAAGGAGGAACAAGTCACATCTCACGTGGATGGTTGCCTGCAAAAAAGAGCTTGTGCAGGGAAACTCTCGTTTTTAAAACAATCAGATCTCACAGCCGGGCGCAGTGGCTCACGCCTGTAATCCCAGCACTTTGAGAGGCCAAGGCAGGCAGATCACAAGGTTAGGAATTTGAGACCAGCCTGACCAATATGGTGAAACCCCATGTCTAAAAATACAAAAATTAGCTGGATGTGGTGGCAGGTGCCTGTAATCCCAGCTACTCAGCAGACTGAGGCAGGAGAATCACTTGAATCTGGGAGGCAGAGGTTGCAGTAAGCAGAGAGCGCACCATTGCACTTTAGCCTGGGTGACAGAGCGAGACTCCTTCTCAAAATAATAATAATAGTAAACAAAACCATCATATCTCATGATTCATTCACTATCACAAGAACAGCGCAGGAAAGCCCCAACTCATAATTCAATCACATCCTATTGGGTTCCTCGCATGACATGTAGGAGGAGTTAAAATTTAAGATGAGATTTGGGTGGGGACACAGCCAAAGCATA